TAGCATTTTTTGTAATGATTGTAATGGAAAGTACATTGGTCAAACATCTATAGTCAAATTCACACTTGGAGTGATATGTAGCTACCCATAATACCACTTTTAAAACCAAAGAGATGCGCCAGGTGATCGACGACGGTTTTGCATGCGTAACAAAGCAAAATTGACGCAATTATGTACTGAGGCATCGACTGTTTCACTTATAAATTCAAGGTTATTCTCAAAAATAAAAGCTAAAACTCCAAATTTTCTCATAAGTAATATAATGTTCCAAATGAATTACAGTTAATTTCAAAGTTATTATATTGGTCAAAGTCAACACTGGCGTAAATAACGTTTCACTCAACACAAAAGCGACTGTAACATAACAATAAACTCTTGTGCCTTAGTGGACCACCACTTGAAGACAGAACATAAATTTGACCTTAATAATGTAAAAATCTTAATAAATTGATAATTATAAAAATTGACTTTTCCTTGAAATGGTACACATTAAAAAAACTCCTGAATCTATCAATTACAAGACTGGCACCAACAATTTCAGTAATATCTACTGCAACATTCTAAATAATAAACAGGGCGTTTCAAAAAAGTTACAGTCCTTTCAAGTCCAATAAAAATGGACACGTTACTTTCTTGTTCTGAAAGCATTTTTCAAACAAAAGAAACAATAAAATCTAAGCGCACAAGGGAGATGTGCAGCTCTAAATCCCCCCAAACTTTTGACTACGTTCAAATCAAATGAATTTTGTGGCATCATTAGTTTAACACATTATTTTTAAAAAAATTTTGCCTCCTATCACTTTTTTGAAAAAACAGTTTTTATTGAGTTGCGGCCCTTTCATGAATCTTTAAAAAATTACGTGCAACTAAATAAATGGCTTAAATGAATTAATAAGTACAAAAAATGTCTATAACCCCTATAAATATGATATTAGAATAAATGTTTAAAACGGCACATTTTCTTCAATACACATTCGGTATCGTTTTAATAAGGACAAGCGAATGCGCTGAAAAATCATATTTTTCTGACCAAATTGATTTGCAGCTTCAATTATTCTAACCCTCAATCGTTGTTCGTCCTCTATTGTTACAAAATAAACTTTCTCTTTCATAAACCCCAAAAGCAAAAGTCCATGGGGTTAAGACCTGGACTTCTGGGTGGCCAAGAAATTGGTTTTTACCAAAAGTTTTAAGAATAATGTGTTATTATTATATATAACTAATTATGCCACAAAATTAATTTAATTTGAACGTACTCAAAAGTTTGAGGGATTTAGAGCTGGACACCCCCTTAAAATTTTTCTGTGTGCTTAGTTTTTTTTTTGTTTCTTTTGTATGGGAAATGCTTTCAGAACAACAAAGTAACGTGTCCATTTTTATTACAAAATGTCAAGTAGTTTAGGTGAAAATGCAAAAAAAAAAAAATTTTATTTTGTAACTTCAAAGGACTGTTTTTGGACACTTTTGTACTAAGGTAAGTTGGATTTAATTTATGACATACCTTTTTGAAACACCCTGTATGATATGATTGATTTTAACCTTTAAAAAACAATACTCACTTAATCTTTTAGTAGCTCTACTTACAATTTTATTTCAATTCTCAATATCAGTATTACAGTAACTAACTACGTATTAATACCACCAATTACATTTTATAGATCAATTTAACATGTTCCTGATTCTTTCTCGTTTCTCTACTATTAATTGCATCTTTTCACCTTACAATATCGATAATAATTTCATAACAATTGTTTACTTCAACTAATTCACTAAAAATTGTTCAAAATAAGACTTTTTAAATTGTTTTCTCCAAACAGGTTCCAAATGATTACTAGAAATGGTTGTGTTTATAGAGATCACAAAAAACGGATGGAAATCAAACATCTGGTATCTATTTCACATAAATCTTAAACGCCGTATAAAAACTAAAGAGATAATCGGATCAAAATCTATAATGAAAGTCTAAAAAGAGAAAAAAGAGGCACATTAAGCATCGCAAAAGCGATGCGATCGCAGATAAGCTTTTGCAGAATGAGCAGTTGTTTGATAATTTAGCAAACATTTATAGCAATGCGGTTTTGATTCAACGAATAACTTGGTAACTTTCAGTTAAGGCCTCTCTCTGAAAACAGAAGGCAGATTCAATGGTATTCCTAATAAGGTACGGCCTAAGTACGACCAATGAATTTATTAATGCGAAGATCGGGAGCTGATTGATTCACCGGCTATTCACCAGGTTCCGAGAGAATTCACACGTGTTTACGTATCTCACTGAACTTGAGTTACAGCTGTATTATTAGAGTTTTTTTAAATAAACTTCTACTTTTTAGATGTATACAACAAAAAAAAAAGAAATCTGTTCACTTTTAAATATCCTCTGAGAACAATTTTTTCATTTTGTTGCGTTAGAAACAAAACAAATTAATATTGTCACTATTTCATTTTAATATAATGACGCTAAGTGAATATTCAGAGTTGAATCTTTCTTTAAAAAGTTATAGCTTCTTAAAATGTGTAATGGAGTCGACCTTTACTTGATGAAAATTCATTTTATCTAACAAGAAAATCAACAAACACTGAAATCTTTGTTTTCAAAAACTTCCACAAAATTGATTATAATTTATAATCACTACAGCTGTTTCGGAAGAGTGAGTTTGTTTGTCTCAAGTTGGCCATTCAGAATTATGTCTGTAGATTTTAATTTGTTAATTTCCATAGATTCTATAGTTAGTCGTTCAGAATTATATGTGTGAAAAATTTTGAAGTAATCCATCTTTGGATGGATTTGGAGGGATTTGACCCGTGTGGTCAAAATAGCAAGCAATAGCAAGTAATATTAATCCGCCAATGAACAAGCAGAATTGCTTATAAAGAGGAAGAAGAAGAAGACAATTTTGAAATTGGTCATTTAAAGAATGCTTATCATCTAGAAGGTGAAGTGCGTACGAAGAATTTGTTTTTCTATTATTAAAAGTTCTTTTGTGCTCTGCTATCCGTTTGTTAAAAGTTCTACTAGTTTGTCCGATAGACTGAATTTTTTGGACAGCCGCCAGATTTAGGTTTGTACACACCCTTGTATAAATTCTTAAAATATATTTCGTTTAATTTTGTGAAACTATATAAAATAACAAAATCAAAAATCAAATCTGCCAAAAAATAAAAATATTGCTTCTTCTTTAGCCTTGACAGTTTTGTAAAACTTCCAAAAAATTGGTGATGCTGGACCTCACATTCGAATAGTTAAAGAAGGACATTTAACGCGTGTGGCTGAAGACTATATCGAGGAACCGAAAGTAATAGATTGAAAATTTTAATAATTAGGTTTACCAGATATCACAGAGATGATAACTGGCAATAAATAGCACAAATACTACTACACTCTTAAGATCAGAGAGAAAGGGGTCCAAGGCCGAATATAAGACGAAGAGAAAGAAGAAGTTTTCCTTACAAAAACCAAAAACAGGGACACACAGGCGGGAAAGGGAACGAACTAGCTCATCCACTCAAGACAGGGCTCATTCACTCTACCGGTGGAATCAGAAACTGTGATTGGAGTGCCCTTTAGTACTGGTTGGGGTAGTCTCAAAAAACATTTTCTGTTGAGACTCAGCCTCCTGGGCCAGTGGTGGCGGTATAAGACAGTCTTTTTTTTCGTCTTTATAGAGGGTGGGTCTGGAATCTTCAAAAGACATCTCAGTCCAGGACGCTGTATATCTGACCTTAGTGCAGGATTCGTTTACTTCCGGAGATAGTTTCCAAGTTACTTTAAAATGCCCTCTCATCGCCGAGTCTACGCCGAACGCTTACCTGCTAAACCTCCTCTGGCATCTAGCGATCCGGAAGCTAAATAACCGCTGTAAGGCCGGCATCACTTCTGAAGCACTACTTTCATTCATCCACAGACTGTCAGCAAGAAGGCTCTCTGTCTCGTTCCAGATAGTGCGTGGAAAATCCTCCTCGCTCCTAGTATGGCATCACTTCCAGACGGGCATTTCCTTCTTCCCCACAGTCTGACTCACATAGTCTAACTCATATAGTCTGATCCACTTTTCTAACTTTAACTTCCAGCATCTTTCCTTCTTACCTTTGACGTTAGTCCAGCTATCTTTCGTCCTCTTCTTTTTTCTTGATCACTGCACGGATATAATTGTGTAGAGTAGTCCAACCTACTTCATTTTCAATCATTCTCTCAATAATTTCTCTAACTGTAACAAAATTCACACATGTCTCTCTTTCCATTCTGTTCCTTTCTACTATCTATCTGTTGCACTGTAACATCGTATTTGTCATAGGGTCCGAGTGTCCACAGTCCACATTCCACAGTCCACATTCATCTGTGTGAGCCATTCCGAGTCTAGAGAGGTAGGCCCTAAAACACTTCCCGTCTTAAGCCCGTCTTAAAAGGTTTAAGTGTCTTACGGGCTTATAAATGGGCCCTATATCAATCTACCATAACCATAACCTTACAAAAACTTAAGATAAACATCCTTCCTCAACTAAGTTGAAAAGACTAAAATGTAAGTTCATACCAAAAATAGATCGATTAAGAAAGACACTGTGTCGAAATGGCTGTAGTGATAATAAATTTTATGGAACATGTTAAAAACGAAAGTTTTCAGTATTTTATTGTTGGATAAAATTAATTTCCATCAAGTAACGATCGAATCCATCACTTAAACAAAAAGTATGTTCATGTATTATCTTTTAATGAAGCATTTGTTTTTTTTTTTGTATAAAATATTGATAATCATTTTTGTAGTAGTATGCTGCATTTCTAGTCTATAAATTTGCTCTTTCACATTCCGTTATAAATTCCTGAAAGAATCGAATCCTTCCTTCCTTTCTACCTTATAACGGTAGCCATATTCATCACACCGACCATAAAATTACCGGAAGTTCATTTTAGGCATAGCGAATAATTATTCCAATCAATTGCATTTGAATTCTAGTCAACGTCCAGCGACAAATACTAATACTAATCGACTTAAATTCAATTACAGGATGTGGTGGCTAGTGTTGTCGCTGGTATGGTGGTGCGGTTCATCAGCCATTCCGTCACCAGGACCGGATTTATGGAAATGTCCCGAGATCGACTCTCAGCCAGTGGTTGAATGCAGCTGCGATATGCCGCACACCCTGAGGTGTACGGGAGATAAAACGGCCTTGAAGATTATAGGTGAGTAAAATTAAAATCTTATAACTAAAATTACATATTTCTGCTTTTCATACTATTATGAAGATGATTGTATATAGGGCCTTTACCTACGCGTTTTCTATCTTTAAAATCAAATAAAGTGTTTAGGAAATATCATCGATTTTTTTACAATTCGACGCTACTGGATCTCGTCTGGATTGATATAGTCCCAAATTCAACAATTCTGTTTGATGACCATCTTCTTCTACTTCTTCGCTAGCTTTACAACTCGGGGTTAGTCTTCGCTGCATCCACTATCGCCCTCCATCCTCTACGATCTTGTGCTTCTATTTCCCATTGTTGTACCCCAATTCTAGATAAATCTTCCTTCAACATCATCCTTCCATCTTTTCCACAATTTGTTTATTTTTATGGAATCATAGGCTTGTTGGAAATCTATTAAAATTTAGTGCACATCGCGGTTGAATTCCCAGCTGTTCTCTATTTGTCGGATGGTAAATATCTGATCTATAATTGACCTTCCAGCACGAAAGCCGCATTGGTAATCGCCTAGAATATCTTCCGAATATGGTGTAAGTCTCTTTAGCAAGATAATTTATAGCACTTTATCTGATGTGCTAATAAGCGATATGCCTCTATAGTTTTGGAATTGATCTTTGTTTCTTTCTTATATATGGGAATTATAATGTTTCCATTCCATACTCTAGGCATTTTCTGTTGTTGCTATACTCTCAGAATAATGTAATACAATTTTTGGTGTAAAAGGTTTCCTCCGTTTTTTAACAACTCTTCATGTATGCCTGGTACTTTATGGTCTTTTAGAAACGTGATAGCATTCTTTACTTCCTCAAGTGTTGGTGCTCTGGTATTTCGATATCAGCAAAATGAAACGTAATATCTGCTTCCTCCGTCTCACTTTCAATATTTAGCAAATTCCGAAAGTATTCCTTCCATCGTTCGACGATTTCCGTTTCTATCCACCCATTTGATAACCATAAACAGGTTTATGGTCAAAGTCAGTTTCCAACTGTTCAGAGCCCATTCAGCGGACTGCCTCGAATTATCATGCATGTTTTCATAGACATCGGCTATGTTTTTAACAGATCCTGCGTTTCGTCGCCGTACGGGTATTGGTTGATTCTTTACTGAACCAGTGGATTCAAATTTGATCGCCACACTGCGGCTAGTCACTTCGGTAGGGTATGGCGACTGAAAAATGGGTGAAGCGAGCGGAAAATTGATCGAACATTACACCCATTTTGACTAAATGATAATTTGCGGTTTTGTTTGTACATTATATCCATTCATGGTAAATTGTTAGAACAAACTGAATAAAATCCACAAGGAAATTTAAATTTGTGTAGTTGGCTGTAGGTATAACATGAATCACATAAGTTTTATTTAAAAACCCTTTATAAAAGGTATATAATTAAAAAGACCCTTTCAGGCTGCATCGCAGAACGTTTTCGGACTAAAAAGTTCATCCTCGGTGTTTTATCTGGAATAAATATTACTACTTCAGTAAATGAAATCAAAAAGGTTAAATTTTGACTAAGGTTAAGAATGCAATGTGGTCAAATACTTACCAGGACTCAGTATATCTAATATATACTTCTATATCTGGTCTGTGAACTCACTAAAGAGGTAATACTTATTCTAGATAATATACTGATGATTGGACTTTTAAGTCTGAAAACGTTAGTGACGTATCTCGAAAGGGTCTTTTTAATTACATCCTTTTTATAAATGATTTTTAATTCAGACTGAATAAAGTAGCGCCAATTCAACAGATGTAACTTCAACAATATGGCCATACTGATAGTCAAAGTTCAGAAATCCCTATTGAAAGACCCTGTATAATTACCTTGAGGTATGCACAAAAAAGAAGAAACATAAAAGAAGAAAAAAATTAAAAACAGAAGAAATACACATATATAATAGACCTCACACGCAATAGAACAGACCATAATAGCGTCCTTGTATGTAATAATCATAAAATCAAGTTTCAATTACAAATTTTTGACATTCTTATTTGGTAGTTCTCCATCAGACCAAATCTTGTTAAATTACTGTAGTATTTTTACCGACTGACTGCCGTCGGCTTTGTTCTTCTTTTATCTTCTTAACCTTAGTACCTAGTCAGTTTTAGTTTTTCTTTTGTTAATTCTTGTATCAGGCTTTTGTTTCTTTTAGCTGGGATCTTACAGTTTTTTGCTTTTGATGACCACTGTTTCTTCTTCCTCTATATTTCTGTCTTAATAACTAACGAAAAAAGGTAAAAAAATGTCTAATATGACATGTTCAGTATATGTAAATTCTTATTTGTCATCATCATAAGTGGCTCGACAATCCATTGTGGATCTTGGTCTACTCACAAAGATAGGAGTCCCACTCCTATTGATTCCTAGCAACTTCCTTCCACCTTCTGACCCTTAGAATGTGTAGAGCTTTTTTCACAGCATCAATCCATCTCCTTCGTGGTCATCCTCTACTTCTTGTGCCTTCAGAACTTCATGGTTCCGGGTGGCGGTACTATTTTTTTCTTCTGTTTTAAGTACTAAAACCAAAAAAAATGACCCCAAGCGGGTGTCTTCAAATTCAATTAATGTTTTTGGCATCAGAAGAGTAGATACTTTCTGTAGAATTCGACATAAATATCTCACTAGCAGGTACAACTAGCAGATATAGATTTTAATTTCAACAATGCACTAGTCAGTCGATCACCAGCCTTTTCACCAATCTGCCATTAGAGAAAATTTTAAAAGCAATCCAAGAGTCCAATCCATCATCTGGGAAGCACATGATTTAGGTATTGCCTCATCACATGCATATAATGAGATGAAGTACCATCTTGTTGTGGCCAAATATTGTCGTTTAAGATATTTACTCCAGGAAATGACCGTTTTGGTGTGTAATGTTTCTCTCTACGACTGATTTGCTTGAAAATTTGAATTTAGTGTCTTCTTACCGTCTTTTTTACTTTGACTTGAGCCCAGGGTTGCTTTTACTTGAGGGGTGAGAGCCAAAATTCATTCTAATACATCTTATTTGTGATTATAGTTAAAACTAAGAACTATGCGTTATCGTATCAAATATTTGAAACCATCATTTTCTGTTTTAGGTGACATGCTACGAACCAAAGCTTCAGATTCGGTATCGCTTCTAGACTGCACCATCCAAAACGTAACATCAATCACAGAACCGATACTAGAAGGCGTCGCGTTGCATGGATTGGTGGTATCTTCGGGAGAACTTAGGAGTATAGTCAATAATGCCTTTGAAAGACTCGCATCACCACTACAAGCCTTAGGATTACCAAACAACCAGCTCGACACAGTCCCAACTACTGCTTTAAATTCCTTACCGGAGCTTGACAGGCTAGATCTTTCTGGAAATAAATTAGAGAAGTTGGATCATAAATCATTTGAGGTAAGCTCGATTCAATATTCCAATTAGCACTGTTCGCTTATCACTTACATACATTTCTTAATTATTGTGATACCATTAAAAGTTGCTATCTGACATTGACAGATGACATCTGGCAGGTATCTTAAAACACGAGTGCTTCAGGGTTGTATCTTAAATATATGCCATGGTGCGTTTAAAAACAACTCAATTTATTAACTTATGATACATTTTGGAAAGATCTTTGATGTCAGTCTGATAAGACAGGTAGCACCTCTGTATTCTAACAACTGTAGTAGTCAAGTTTTGGAAGACATTCGTTGGACTTTCCGAGTTTGAATTTGTATCAGCCCAAGTGTCTGATGAGGCAGGGATGCTGAAATGAGCATCCATGATAACGCTCTATTGATACCGATTCGAGCACGGTCAGTTTGACGAATTTGTCCTCCTAGGAATTGTCCTCCTTCTGAAATTATATTCAATTGTGATTTCTATGTTTATTAATGCCTTTTATATTTTAATTAATATACACATTTCTTTTTGCAGGGATTGCAAAATCTATCATTCGTAGATTTGAGCGACAACCTCCTCACTGTCATAGCTCCGGACACATTCGACAATTTACCCCAACTGAAAATACTTCGACTGCGAGCCAATCAGCTAACGATAGCATCAATCGCAAGACTGAACCCTTTATCGACTTTAGAAGAACTAGATTTATCTGAAAACACATTAATAGGACCTCTGGGTCCTGGAACGTTCTCAAAGATGACATTCTTAAAGGATTTACAACTATCCCATAATACTTTGAGCAGTATAAAGATGGGTTCTTTGCAAGGTTTGGGTAGCTTGACGTCTCTTAGAGTCCAGCACAATCAGATCGATGTTATAGAAGATCACGCCTTCAGTCATTTGACGTCGTTGTTAACGTTAGAACTAGCTCATAACCGAATTGTGGCAGTTTCTGGAGCTTCTTTAGCGCATCTACAGAAACTTACCTATTTGGATTTGCGGCATAATTTCCTAAGAGCTCTAACTGCTGATTTAATCCAGCCGTTAAAGAATTTACAGACATTAAGGTTAGATGAGAACGACATATCAATTGTAGCTAGTGATGCATTTAAGTCTTCAACAGTATTGGAGCATCTCACCCTGTCTGAAAATCCCCTAAACTGCGATTGCAGTCTCAGCGACTTCGCAATGTGGTTGAGTAATTCTAGTCTTAGCAAAGATGATAAGTCAACCGCTGTATGTACGACCCCACCACACTTAGAAAATGGTCTTTTGATTGAAATGCCGACTTATAATCTTATATGTGGCGAAGAAGACGATACAGTGATGGCACCTCTATCTTCTCCGTTTAAAGCACGAATAAATCTTAAAGATTTCAATTATGATGGAAAGCATATTAAACTTTCGTGGGGTATAGAGGATGATTTTTCTTCTTACACTTGTGACGCTATCTTCATTTACGAAGAAGAAGGTCCGAATGAAGTCCTAGTAGAGTCTAATCCGGTAAAGTGCAATTCCTCTGAACTGTTGGATCCAAAAACTTTGAATCTGACAGTACCCAACGCTATTCAATTGCAAGAAGATCACAGTTACAGATACTGTATTGTTCTTCTAGAATCAATCCAAGCAGATGATGTTTCCCTTATTCTCGGTTGTTCCGATATCTTGCCGCTGCTTAGAAACGTAAAAGTTCAACCGAGTACCAACTTTTCTATTAAATTGCCAAGAGTCATCTCAGTGATGGCTAATCTGTCAAACGCCGGTGCTCTGTCCATCGATGTTAACGTTTATCCAAGTGCCAGCTGTGAACTTAACGTAGCAATTCTCGAACAAAGTGCGCTGTTGTCACAAAGAACAATTAACTGCAGCAATCCCAAGTATAACTTCTTTGGGCTCACAGCGGGCCCTTATAGAGTTTGCGCGAATATAGTATCTTCTAGTCCTAGCATAGATGTCAACAAATCCAGGTGCGTAACGGTTTTTAAGACAGCCACCACCGGTTTCACCAATCTGGATGTAGCATTTGTATCGATATTTCTAGTTCTGTGTCTTATGGTTATCGTTTTGGTGTGGGGCGTCAAGAAGATCTTGATGAAACCGAAGATTCAAACGCACCAGTGTTTTATGCCACCAGAGTGTGATGAACATGTACAACATAATAGATATGTTAAACTGCAGGCTACTACTAAGCTTTAATTTGAGCGGTAGATTTTGGTTTTGATGTGCCATAGAAATTAGTCAAGAAGTAGTCACTAAAAAAATTCTCACTGTAATTTATACATTAATTTTAAATTTAACTTGTAACGATAATATTTTATGCCTAACTCAGAGTAAGAACATGGGGGTAGAAAATTGTGGGCACTGAAACTAAGGGGTGGAGATAAGGCAAGCAAAATAATCGCTGCTTGTGCGAACGGCACTCAAATTATACCTATTACAACCACTAGTTGTAACTAGGGAAATAATTTTGTATTGCACACGACGATAAAATCGCATTATCTTCTCGAGCATAATTAGCGTCTCCACTGACGTCTCGACGCTAAAAAACGCTCTCGAAGATAAAGTACAATTTTATCGTCTTGTACAATAAATACTATTAACCTTGATAGCAATTTTGCTTTGTTTAAAAATCCACACTGACTATTTTTTTACTAGTTCCTACTTCTTGATTGTTTAAATTTATAACATTCTGTATTGTAATTAATGTAACTACAAATACTTTTTATTCTGTCTACTAAATCGACTGTTAATTGATGCAAATCCGTATTAACTAATTTTGTGAACATAAAACAAACACAAAAACATAAATTGCTTTTAATTTCCGCTGAATATATTTGTAATGTTCAGAAAACCAGTTCAATCTTGCAACACTGCAAATTTAGTCACCGCAGCGCTATTTAGTGAGTTAGTGTAAATTGCGCTAGTAAGATCCATGTATTTTTTATATGTATTAGTATTTAGAAAAAAAAAACAACAAAAAACATTACCACGCTTTAATTCACCAGATATTTTTTCGTTTTTAGTGTTTAATCGCTATTCTGACACAAACAAAAGTCACTAAGATATTTTAAAACAATTTTAATCTAAAATGTATATTTTGTTTGAAAATAAAAATTTTCATTGGTTCATTAGATGGTTATTTCAACTAATGAGCTTGTGATCATTAGTTGAAACCCTTCCAAAACATTGCTAGTGAAATTATCAATAGCTAAAGTTGTTTTATTTTTTCGGAATCCATACTGGTTTATGGCAAACAGTTTATTAGATTCAAAATGTAGATTAATTTGATTTTTTTAAATTCGTTCATAAACTTTTGATAAGATGGGCAACAAAGAAATGGGTCGATAATTGTTATAATCATCAATAGAGTCTTTATTCTTAAATAGAGGTACTACCTTTGCAGTTTTGAAAACTTGAGGATAAGTATTACAAAATATTGATTGATTTATTAAAGCTGTTAGAGGTTGAACAATTATATCTTTTAATTGTTTTAATAATTTTTGTGTTAAACCCATCAGGATCTTTGCTGTTACTATTTTTTATTTCTGTGATAGCTAAGTCAACTTCGCTAAAGTTCACTGGCTGAAAACTAAAACATGGAATATTTTTTTGTGGTATATACTTTAAATAGTCATCAAGTGTTAGCTGAGGAACCTCATGCTCATTTATTACCCTCTCAGCAGTTGAGCAGAAGTGGCTATTAAAACTATCTGCATTGAATTTAGAATTATCAGTGAAGAAAACATTTTTATGTTTGTTATCATTAATAAGTTTCCACATAGCTTGTTGAGAGTTGCCAGAATTTTTATAAACATATCATTTGCATTAATTTTTGCAAGCTTGATGGCTTCCCTGTACTCTTTTCTAAGTTTGATAATGGCACTTCTAGGTGCAGCAATGGGATCGTTTCTATTTATTGCTATAATAAATTGAAGTCTCTCACGCATTTTTCTCAAAGTGTCATTGAACCAGTTTACTTTTTTACCTGGATTATTTTTATTTAGCAATTTAGATTTTTCTGGAAGGAAAAGAGATATTTATGGAATTTAATAACACATCAATTAGCATTTTAAATTTTAAATTAATATCCAAATTATCATTGTATACAAAATTAAAGTTACAATTTAGCAAAATCTGGTTCATATTAAAGAGTCCTTCATCTGTGATAGGTCTATAACAAACTCTGGTTGCACAATTTGTGGATGAGTAAGCTATCTGAAAAGAAATACCTTTGTGGTCAGATGTGTGAGTGAGATCCACAGTTTTTGTGGTACCATCAATATTTGCGAAAACATTATCAAGACATCTATTACCTCGAGTATTAAATTTAACTTTTTTTTGTAATATTGTAAGATCTAAAAAAATTACAGAGTTTTAAAGCTCTAATATTTGTTTCATTAAAATGGACATTAAAGTCACCCGTAATTATGAACATTAATTTTTTTAAGAGCTTTAGCCATAATGGTAAAGAATTTGTCTAAATCACCATCTGGAGTACGATATACAGTAATAAGCTGCACATTAGATTTATTTAATAAAATACCTGTAATCTCACAATGCTGTTCAGAAGAGAGATTTTCAATATTCAAATGATTAAAACTTACGTTATTCCTAGTATATATACCTACACCTCCATGAGACTTGACCGTCCTGCAAAATCCAGAAACCATACGATAGCCTTTAATATTGACAGTATGTAGCTCATCAGGTAAAAGCCAGTGCTCATTAAGACACAAACAATCAGCTGAAATATCATTAAGCAGAACTTCAAAATCTAGAAAAGAGTTACGTAAATATTGAGCATTATTGTGAATGACATTTAAACAATTTTTAAATTTAACAATACTTTTTAAAGAGGATCCAGATATAAAAGATACCTTCTACTGAGTCCAAGCTTCGAGCGTATAGTAAAACCGGATTTATGAAGTGTTTAATATTTTTTGTCATTGATTAGCTGATGCCTACATCATAATCATAAAATATAATAATCTTTGACGCTAGGAATTTCTTCCTATCATTTTTCGTCGAGAATCTTTTTATTCGCCAAACCGCAAGGCTCGGTGGAATTGATAAAAACCTTTTGTTGTTGTATTTGCTGCTCCTTAGCGTACTATAGCACTATTGCCATTATAAAATGTGGATTCACTTCGCAGACTTCCTACGCTGTATATGAAAATATCAATGGAAATTAAAAACTTAATTTTTTCTGTCTTCGTTTTATGTTCATGTATTTTTTGTGTAAACAGCATGAAATATTTAAATTTATAAAAGTATTTGAACGTTACCTAGGTGTATAGTTTGTATGTTTAATAAAAAAAATAGAAGAAAATGTATATACCCACAGTGGCAAAAATAAATGCAAATGTTAAAGACGAAAATCAAATAGACAAACATTGTCAAAAGTTAGAGCATTACGAAAAAAAGTCTATTTGATTTTTGTCATTATTTTACACATTATGTAATTAAAGGAAAAACAAAGACTGTTTGGGTATATCTCCAAGTTGGTAGCATTTTTTCTGTCCCAGTAATGACTTTCTTTGTCAAATTCTTCTTCTCTCACGTATGGTGAGAGATTATCTAAATGTTTAAGTTTTAAAATTTAGTCTTAAATTTGAAACCAATTTTTGACATTTGTTTTACCTTCCATTAAATTTTATTGTAACTATAATTTGGGTTCAAGGTATTTAAGTTTTCTCTTGATTGTTGATTTTTTCTTAGTTTTTAAATTGCCAGACGCAATATTCATATAAAAAGAAAAACAATTGCTTTGGCGACTTTTCGGCAAAGTCACACTTGTCTTATTCGTCAGTAAGTCGCGTGTTTGATTTCTACATTTGTGTAACCCATCGACGTTATTTTATTCAAGCTTATTTTAGGTCCTGTTTTAGTGAAGTTGTGCTGGGGATGACGTCTTTTCTTTTCTTTCAATTATTCAATTGGTCTGTCCGATGTACGAGTCTTTGTTTTTCTATTCCGCACTTGTGCTTAGGAAACAATATCTAAATAGGTAAAATTTTGTTAAATTTTATATTGTAAATAAATATTTTTTTGTTATATTAACTTTACTGATCATAGTATTAAAGCAATGTTTATATTAATTCCTTAATAATTCGACTGATTTTCGATGTATATAAGTACTTATATATTTTTATTATCTGGTTTTATTTACTAATGCTTATTATATTTTGTTATATTATTATTAGCATCGACAAGCACTGCCAGGTGCGTGTGAAAATAAAAGTACCTGCTTCTAAAAACTTGTGTTTTTATTTACCTTGCAGAATAAGACGATTTTCAAAAGAAAAGTTTGTTCATATTTTTAAATTTTCATTTCATATGAAGATTTAAGAAAGTAGAAGAAAATGTCTTAAAAAATCATTAAAGATATCCAAATCGTGTTGAATATAGACATATAATACAAAATAGACTGACTGCTGCAATACAATCGTGTTCCCCCAGTGCGACAGCGAAGTAAAGCAGACGTAAAGCAGTCCCTGCATCTCTTTCTAATAGGCCGGATTTATCGACTATGTGACCTTCTCATTGGTCATTTAGGTCACATGGTCCATAAACCTGCCAAATTAGAAAGAGATGCACCATCAGTTTTCTCTGTCGCACCGGATGAACTAGCTGGTATTAGAATAATCAGTCTATCATGTATTGTATGTCTATGGTATTTAAAGTCACAGCAATGTCATTGATTTGGTTATAAAGTTCTCCGAAACTGGTTTGGTGATAAATAAAACTAGAAAAAACTTAAGAGTATCAAATAAGGGAGCTCAAATTAAGGTTCTGGGAATATTTGTTGCAGGTCCTGTCAACTTCATATGAAGAGTAGTAGATACAAACGGAAATGTCACGAAAAGCTGTAAGAAAAGCACTAATGTAGTAGCTTAAGAAATACGTCGTTGAAACTAAGCTTTAAGAAATATGACAGAAGTAGAAGGAATGGTTCCCACCAAGATGTCTATTTAGACGACAGTAAAATAAGTAGGTTTAGCTCGATATTGAATATACTTTGTCAAAAACCTACAGAAGATATTATAAATAAGTTTTCAAATTTATTTAAGAATGAGTTAGGGACATTTAAATAGGAACAGATTAAATCAGAAATTGAAGGAACTACACCTATTTTTCGGAAACCAGTTCCGATACCATTTGCATTTAGGGAAAAAGTAGTTAAAGAGATTGAGAAATTAAAAGACAGTAATGTGAGAGAGCAAGTGCCTAATGGAAGCTGAGGAACACTATTAGTACCAGTGGACAAGGCTAATGGAATAGATGTCAGGGCTTGTGCTAACTACAAAACTACAAAG